AATTGACTCTCGATAAATAATTGACCTGCCATAACGCGTTCATTATTTAATTATTTTAAAGCCTCAAAAGCCCGGCTTACGACTCCGGAGGTACTGAACTTGATATATTTGATACACAATGCACTCTTAAAGGAGAAGGTTGAAATAAAATTGCTTTTACGACCGTATATTACACCCGGTTTACATATGAAGATGATTGCTTTTAAAAATACCTATTATAGCTGTATTCAGAAGCAAAGACACGTAGGTAAGATGCTTCCGCTTTATTTTTATTGTAAGGGGTTTCTTTTTATGTAACATATATTCATTCCTTTAATTTCCTCCTAAACCTGCCTGCAAATAATTAAATTTTTTTTTTCATTTCATGTTTGAAAAGATAAAACAAAAGTGTTGCAGAGGTCTCTCTCCAGACTGAATTCAGGTGAGAACATCAGTAAACTAGTTGATGGCATATGCTACTCCTGATTCTTTAATTTGATTGGCATGGTTTTTTTTTTCACAAAGCTTCTTTTATATCTCTGTGTGGCAGCTAATGATGAAAATCTCAGTGAATACATATGCCATATTTTAGTTGTCTTTTTAAATTCCATCTTTAATTTTTTGGCAGTTGCTATTTTAAAATTCGTAAATGGCATTCTCTTTTCATCCATGTAAAGATATATTCACATTTCTTAATCTAAAATGTGAAATATCAAGTCAACTTAATTTTAATGAGTCCAAAACTTCATTGTACATAAGAACACTTTACTGGAGTATGTTACATTTATGCACTTTCTTTCTGCTACATGTGATTACGTAACCCTTTAACTGTCAAGATTTCATCAGTACTTCTTCTTACTGTCTGCCATACAATTTATGTGATGTTAGGTTGAAGAATTTGGGATTGGATTAACCAACTATCCCCTAATTGATATTTTTCTTTATCCTCATTACTTGTCTGCTTGATATTGTACTGATTGTGTAAGGAGAAATTCTTTGTAGGTCACCAGTAGGACTAATAGGGTTAAAATGGGGGATTTCATTATATTGTAATGATTAAAATTTTCTTATGCTTTCAAATGTCACAAAAAAAATTGTGTTGAGAATCTGATGTCGTGAAACAATGGAAAAACCTGTTGCTGGTAGCTTATGTCTTTAATTTTTAAATGTTCACGGGAAATGCTTTCCTTTAAAAGTGAGGATACAGATTAGTTTTCAAAGTGGATAGAAATAAGTTGTTTGCAAGTAATGAAAAGCAAACTGACAGTCATACCTTAATGCTTGACATACTTCACTCAAACATGTCAGTTGTGTGTACCTACCATTGTAGAGGTGTCCTTCATGAAAAATATTTTTAGTGTGGCTGTTGTTCTTTGTTGATCTTTGAAGCCAAAAAAGCTGGTAAAGGCACAGAACCTCAATTTTTATACACACAAGGTACCCTCCAAGGTGAAAGAGTAGAAGACCATAGACTGATGTTTATTAGGCAATTTCACTCACCACAATTATATATTCAAGCAATACTCTACGTATATGAAACTGACTACATGATGTCTTTAATCCTTTACACCCTAACATCAGTATGCATATTCTCTATACTGTTCTCTATACATTTCCTAATGTGCTGCCAAGGAGAATTTGTTTAACAATCAAGAGGTTCTTCAGTTGATTATGATTTCCTTTTTTCTCATGACCTCAATGCTTGATTTAGGGATGATATTGAAAGGAGAAATTACATGCTAGTCACTCTCAGGATTAAAGTGTTAATAACTGCACACATTTTATATGCTCCTTGCATTCGTTGGCAGCAATAGTTAAGATTGTTAGGAAAGCAAACAGATGAACAGATGACAGTGAAATGAAGGAAACTGTAAACTTAACCATATGATAGAAGAAACAATCACAGAATACTTAAGAAGGGAAACTTGAATTGTGCTGGGCAATTTCCTTTATTGCCCTTCATGTTTTTGATCAAATAATTTAATCAGTTGTAGGGTTTGCTTACAATGTGTCAAATCACCAGTGTGGACTTGATTCTTCTCAGATGTCAGCTGGTAAAAGATAGATACTAAAAATAGATGACCATAAGGAAAAGTTCACATCTTCAATAAAATCACACTGAAGTGTTGGTGTAAATGATTCGTGATATTTAGAATAACAGAAGCAGGAAAAACACATTGAGCTTTTTCATATTCACTAGCAAGTTAATTAGATTTCAGATTCTACATTAAAACTGGGTGAGATTAAATTTATTCATATCATGCTTCATTGCCGTTGCAACTAACATTTACAACAAAGTTTGGTTTTAATGTAGAATGTTCCAAGAACTTTCTTTCTCTCCAGTACTTTTTACTATTTCTGGAGCACTATTAACCCTTAACACCCTAACATCAATATGCATATTCTCCATACTGTTCTCTATACATTTCCCAATGTGCTGGCAGGGAGAATTCGTTTAACAATTAAGAGGTTCTTCAGTTTATTATAATTTCCTTTATTCTCATAACCTTAATGTTTGATTCAGGGGTGATATTGAAAGGGGAAATTACATGCTGGTCACTTTCAGGGATTGAAGGGTTAAAGGAAGCAGGTTATGAAAAAAATTACAAATACACCTTGGCTTGCAATTCTGATGATTACAGCTTGCTGAGGTAATTGAAATGTCAGTCCATAAGCTATGAGATAACTTGAGAAAAATGTATTTGTGTCAGTAGAGCTATTGTAAGTACAGTACCACCTAGTGACAAAAATTAATGATTTCCTGTAAGTATGAATGTTTGGGAGAAGTTATAGTGGTAACTGACCCTTTTTTGCAAGGATGCATAGGGTCTGATGATTGTATTGTATATCTCTTAGCTTTCAAACTTTCAACTTTGTATTAACTGTAACTGTTTACCATATCTATTTTTCTGTATCATAAGCCCTCAAAAGTTAAAGCAGGTGAGTCAATAACCTGACTTCCTTTGTTTGGAATTGTGTGATTAAATAATTTTGCTGTGTAAATTACCACATTGTAACATGCAATATTATTATTTAGATTGCAATAAATGCTCTTGCTCAAGCTATCATTGATGCGTGGTGTTTCTTACCGATACTCATACCCAAACTAAAAATTGAAATAAGGAATTGGTTACAAAATATGTGAGTTTTAAAGGATGGAAAACTGGAAAAACAAGGAACCCCCTTTAATTAGGACTGAAATTGAAGTGGACTCTGCTATTTTAGACACCCTGTTGTTCGATCAGGTCTTTTTTCCTGTCTCTTGATTTAAATGGTACTTTAAAAAAGCGCAATATTTCTTTAAGCAGTGAAACATCAAAAAGACTCAGCTTATTATCTCTCGCACACTCGCACAAGTTGAAGGCGTCGTAAGACTGAGGGTGTTGCGGCCTCAGTTCGTTAGAAATGTGCGCCATTAGCTGTTGTCTTTCAGCTTCTTTTCCTCTTGAAATAGTTCCTTTAGACTGTGCTCGATTTCTGAGCGTGCTTGTTGCCTTCTTCTGCCGCCTGCAAGGCGAGAAAAGAAACCCTGTACTTGGCTCTTAGTCAACCACTCGTCTCGTTCAAACAACCATCTATTCTGCTCATCTCTTGTCTTGCACATATCATTTGAGACTTGCTGAGGGTCAGCTTTTAGCCCTGATTGTTCCCCAAGGTCAAACTTTGCAGTTAGATATTTCTTAACTTTGTCAGTTAATCTAATGGATCCTGCTCGTGGCCTGTGTAGGGACCCAGCCCATAATGACAGTGTGCAATGCGGGTATTGAGACATTTTCACTTTGGCGGATATTAGGTTCAGACGGTTCATTTTCAGTGACGTTGACTGATGTAGTAAATCTGTCTGCCCAATCTCTTCGAAGCTTGTCATATAGCGTTTCTGACGGCCTTTCATCTTTGACGCCATGATCCCCTACGTCCAAATGTGACTCGAGCTCTGAATATGTTTGGAAACTCTTCACGCATCCAGGCTCGGAACATTCAAACATGCTTATATTCGAATTGTCCCAGTCATTCTCTTCTTCTGAACTCTCTGTCACAGGATTTGAGCATTGATAAACACGTGCATCATGAAGAGGGAAAATTTTTTCACTAACAATGATACCAGTGTCCCCTTGGCCCTTTAACACCAGCTGGTCAAAAGAGATTTCCTTGCCACGCCCTATTCGGTACGACCTCCACACACGAATACCTTTCTCCTCAAACTGAACATTGTGAAGCTTGCTAAAACCATCTATCTTGTTCACTTCTAGGGTTATCTTCGCCTCGTCAACTTCGCAAACGCATGCGGATGTACCTTTCACTGGTCTTTCAGAACGTACCCTCCTCATGTCTCCTGTTGATAGAATGTCGTGTCCTTCGTTGCAGAAACGTCGGATGCATGTTTTCATTGGACACAGAATTCTATCACATACATCCTTGTCGTATTGTGGCTCTGAAAAGTCGTACCGACAAACTTCTAAACCAGCCCGCTTACCAATTCCTCTTGCTGTTGCAATGAGGGAGTTGTTGTGATAACAGCCAGCTTCATCTGACCGCAGATAAACCCAGGTGATGTGAGGCTTTTCGGTCTTAATTTCTCTCAGTGTGCTTTCTATAATGGAACACACGGCGAACCAGTCCTGCTGGCATTGCGTCAAACAGATGGGCATACGACCGCAGTTCTAGTCTTCCTTCAAGGTTCGGATCACGTGTGATCACCGTCGAGATGTGCCAACTGAATCCTCTCCTGCCAAACCAATCTGACTGCTTCTCACGATATTTAAGCTGAAGGAACTTCATTGCCCAGTCCATTATTACCAGTGCACAGTTCTGATTAGTACTTATCGTCTTCAGCTGATCTTGCTTTGCTGCTCCCTGGTTTACAAAGCGAACAATATGAGTCTTCCACTCAAAAATATCAGTGCCAGTTTGAAGTCGTATAGTAGATAGTCTCGATGTTCACTGCCGAAAGGGATCCAAAATGGACCTAAAACTTTGTCTTCGACTTCATCTAAGACATTTCGCAGATTTTGACACTCGTTTCAATTTTCTGTGTGTTGATGGGAGCATTTTTCCTGGAAGTCGGGATCTTGTTCGTCACTTAAAGCGAACTTGCGGCATTGATCAGGACATAAAGGCTCCTCTGGATTGCAGTGAACGCGATAATTGGTCTTTAAGTAGCGCTTTTCACTCCGAAGCCTTTCCTTGACCTCAGCGCACCATTGCCTATTCATTCTTCCTTTCTCTAGATCATCGACAATCATTTCAATTTTCTGGAAACCAGCAGAGCCATCGGCAGCAGTATTGTCAAGGCCTTGTAACGACTTTCTCTGTGAAGCTTGTCTGACTTCTAGGATTTTGAATAAAGTGGTGCGACTGAGAGGTTCAAACTTCTCCTCCTGACAAAACTGTATGTACTGGCTAATCATCGTAGACCGCGTCAAGGTACGCACCACGTTCGGCATCTCGATGGTTTTGCCACTGTTTAGCTTAAGGAATTTAGTTCCGTAAGACACGTCTTGATAAAAGTATGGGCGATTAATGAACTCAACGAAATGATCGACTTTGGTCATATCAATGCGAACACGATGATGTACCTTCTCCTCAGGCACTTGACCGGGACCTATCGTTCTTCCATGACACCGCGCTCTCTGTATCTGTCGTGTACACAACTTTCCATATGGCGAGTAAAGTTCTTTTAATGTGCTAAACGAGTACTTATACGCATAAGAATTTGCGTCTTGATGTTTTTAGTTTTGGCGTTTTTGTGAGCGGTCATCAAAGATTTCAACAACTCATCAGCTTCTGCCGTCTCATCCTTTTCTCCACCTGGAGAAGACAAGGCGTGAAAGAGCGTCTTGCCGTCGTTTGGGGCTATCACATTACATACAAGCATACGGTCTTCAACGGCTTTCTCGATGTAGAACTGTCGCTGGGCTGGACTGCTTTCTTCCCACGAGACAAGCTGTGATGGTAGTGGCTGTCGCTTGCGAGGAATATTTCTGGCAACCTCGTCCATCGCAGCATCGTAAGTACCAAGAATCTCTGTTTCGGGGATCTGACGGAAAGTTGCTTCAGGAGTTGCTGGAGTCCAACAGGGACTAGAAAAGGGTTTCCTATTAGGGGTAGAAATCTAACGAAATGGCGTTGTCTCCATTTCAGCAGCATGTACTCCTATGGCTGTTCTTGCATCAGCTTTGGCCGCTCTATAAGATAAGACACTCTTACTGACGGTATGAACGGACATTATTGGACATGTTCTCTTCGAAGGAACGAGTCGGTAAAGAAAGGAATTCACAAAGGAAAAGAGAGGTAACTGTGTTTTCCCATAGAAAGTTAAATCTGCAGCCACCAACAAAATCTTTGTCTCAGTTTCGTACTTGGCATGCGCTTTCGATGTATATAACACCCTGCGTGGTGAGGTAACTTAGAAACAATAAAATATCAAACAAACCTCTCAGAATCCGCAGCTTCCTGGTTGACTGAACCTTTGGTAGAACTGTGCCATCCCAAACCCAACAGTCGCTCAGAATGCTTCTTCCGGCAAGTGGTGCGAATAGCTATAAAATTGCCTCAATAAAACTGATGAATCGTCGTCGTCTTCATCAACGTCATCATCATTGTCATCGTCTAGCTTAGCCTAAATCATTTCTAAGAGAAATAATAGGCGTTTCAAACACATCTAGGAGACCTATAGTTTCTATCGTGCGTAACTCTTGTCGTTGTGGGTGTGAGATAAAGGAAAAGTTTTTTCGAACCGTAGAGACGAGTAAAAGAGGGGCGACATCGCGCGAGGCATGGGAAGGAGATGCAGATTCACCGCTCAGGACTATATTTGTTTCCTTCATTACCACCAGCCAGGCTGCCCAGTAGTCTTAGTGTAGCATGTATAAAACGTATACAACAGGACAACTTCGAATAAAGACTGTATTCCAGAATAACAATATACAAGACAGCTTTCACGCATTCCTTTTCATTTTCCTTTTTAGAGTTTTCATCAAGAGTTCAAAGTTCAATTCGTGGGGGGTAAGAAACATACAAAAATCCACGTGACACTCTCGGTCCAGTTTTCAACATAGCAATAGCATAAAAGAATTAAAGAAATTTCCTTGGTTGATGATGAAACACGCATTTTTGTGTTTACGATTGCGACACCAATAATTAACCAAGGGAAATGGACATGTGACCAACAACAACAAAAACTTATAGGGGTATTGACATTTGAGGAAGCAGAACTAGAGAGAGCCACAAAGCTATTGGTACTTACGTGATCCTACAGCGGCGATTTCTATGAATATAAGTCTTATTTCGTCAGCTATTTGGAAGGTTGGGACGTGGCTGCCCGTCACACTTGTAACTTTCCCAGTATGGCCAGGGTATTGGCACGATTTTGGACCTCGCCAGAATCTTCCTAGTAAGTGTCTGTGCCTCGGGCAGATGGTCATTCCCTCGAGCTGAATTCTCGACAAATGCTGAATTCCCGCTCTCGCCATGATTAACTTGGCTTCTGTAACTTCACTGCATTTTGACAAGTGGCAGCTAGCCAAATGGGCGGATATATCTGCGTTACACTCCGAGAGCAAAACATGCTCTACTTACTTATTTCTTAAAGAGAACAATTTGGGGGGATAGCAGACATTTTTAGTGCTAACAAAGAAAACGTCCCAAGAAACACTGTCTCGGATTTGTCTGAAAATCTTGCCGAATAATCTTTTTGTTCCCGACAGATTTTAATTGAATTAGGAAAAAATAAACAAGTTTGCCAAATATTCTTTCGCAAAAAATAGAAATGCCACACAGGAAAGTTGAAAAGTTTTACTTTAATAAGCTTTAATCAAAAAACATTTCGTGTCTTCGTACCTGTAATGAAAGGAAATGTAGCTGCCGTCGAGTTCCTTTTTCAAAATTAATCAGTAATTGAATTAGGTGAAACAGAAACACACGGCTCCTTTTTGGCGCCTCGTAGAAAATGAAAATGGTCATAAAAATATAATACAAAATTTTGTCGTGAAATACCGAAAAAATTCCTACAATACAAAGAAAAGAAAAGAAAAACACAACTCTTTGTCATCAAGAAAACGCTAAAAAAAATGTGTCCTGGACTACACATTACATAACTTTCTGTAGCTAATTTGCATACGGTGATTTAGTAACCGCAAGAAAGCTCTCCCTCCTTGTTTGTTCTTCAGACACCTACCTTAATGATTCGATTTAGCGCCCGGGGCGCTTATTTACTTTTGGTACCTCAAGGGAGGGCGCTTATCCGAGACAGGGCGCTTATTCGGGACAGGGCGCTTATTTAAGTTTTTGAGAAACAACCAAATGGTTAAAGCATAACTTTAATAAATATAAAAATAACTAACAATAACAGAAACTGTAACAGTAACAAATTGTTGAAAGTTCAGTTACTTTCAAAAGAATTCTTCATTTTATATACCGTATCTGTAACAAGTATACAAGTACGGTACGTTGAATATTCGTGAGTTTATCTACCGTATTCGATGTCGATGACTTCAGTGTCACTTGCATCGATTATCAAGCTTCCTGGTGCCGCATCCTCGACGTCAGATTCTGTGATCCCGTCGAAAGGATCCTTGTCGCGTGAATTGCTCATGGCTTGTTGAACAACTTTGAGCCGTTGTAGACCTGCACTGCAGGGCTGATTTTCCTTGAAGCAGTGAATGTCTCCGTCCTCTGATCCATCCACTGCAACGGTTAGCGCACAGCTCTTGAATGAATTGATAATCATTGTTTTGTCCAAGCCATCCCACGCCGTAAGGATCCACTTAACTATCTCTCTCCGGGCTGGAGCACGCATGTTTCCTGCTGCAGTGAAAGAGTGGGCTTCACCAGCCATCCATTCATCATATTTCTCCGTGACATTTGCTTTAAAAGGCTAATTCCAAACCACGTCCGGCGCTTGAATGTATTTCTTACAACCCCCTGGGACGATTAAAGGATCTATCTTTAACGTGCGTAGTTCTTGTTTGACTGTTTCCATCACGTGGCACTTGAACGAATCCCACGCCAAGATTCGTCGGGTGAATGAAAACTTCCCCAGAACACTTCTTACCCAGTCAAGGGTCAGTTCTTCGTTCATCCACCCATTAGAAGATGATGCTACAACACGTTTAGCCTTAAATTCTTAATTGAGTAATTTGGTTTCTCTCTTAGCACCGGGAAAGACTATAAAAGGCTTCAATTTCGTTCCATCTGCTTTCTCTGTTAAGCAAACTGAAACCTTTGTCTTCTCGTGACCAGTTGTTTTCATGGCTATGGTGTTGTGGCCGATGGAATCAACAGTTGTATTGGAAAGCATGTCTTGCCAAACGGCTGTTTCGTCCATTGCTATAATGTCACTGTCACTGTAGGAGAACTTTACACGTAGCCGTCTTGCTTGTAACACATGTGCGATCAGTTTGTCAATTAGTTTTTCGGGATCCTTTTGGGATTCCGTTGTCTTGCGCCGTATGCATAACCCATGTCTGGTCATGAACTTCTGCACCCACCCAATGCTTGCCGTGAATGTTGGAGGAAGTTCCATTTCCTTGCATTTCTCCTCGTGTAGAAACCTTGCTTTGCTTCTGATCATTTTCCTTGATACACGAGAAACTTTAGAGCGTCGTTCGTGGACCCATTCAAACAACACTTCTTCAATATCCAGATCAAAAGGCTTTCTTCCCGCCCCGGCGAGCCGCTTTCGCTTGCAACTAACAGATTCCAATTTACTCTGGTTTGCTCGCCACTCTCGTATTCTCTTCCGGTCCACGTTAAACTTCTTCGCTGCTTGATAGTTACTATTGCATTCCACGGCAAACCGTACGGCTTCTAGTTTAAATTCTGTTGAATAAGAATTGGCCTTTTTTCCGGCATGAGACTGAGAAGCATCAGCCTCCATGTTTTTACACAAGGTGATCACTTGTTGTTGAGAAACTCAGACGAAGACCACTGTTTTTGTAATGCATTATTACGTACGGTATGTCGGCTATTAAAGGAAGATGAACCACGTTTGATACGTATTCTGAAGGCGCTGTAATATTAGAACAGGGGCGCTTATTAGAATAGGGGCGCTTATAAGAATGGGGGCGCTTATTAGAATGGGGGCGCTTATTGGAATAGGGGCGCTTATTAACAAAAACACATTCGAATGGGGAGCGCTTATTCGGAAGGGGGCGCTTATTGGAAGGAGGGCGCTAAATCGAATCATTACGGTATATCTCAAATACAACGGTGTAAACGTGATATAATACTTATTTCTAATGTACAAAAACCAACCTCTCATTATTTATTACTTGGTTTTATGGTGGTTCTCGGTCCTGACATTGATAAACTGTCGGACCGTGTTTTATCTAAATAAAAACACTTTAGCGAAAAGAACATCTTTATTTATCAAAACAAACTGGATTCCGTTAGCGCATTGTGTTCAAAGAAAATGGCTTTTGAAATTTTACGTAAAGCATTCAAGAAATGATACAACTATTGAGTTTCCACATTCTTAAAAACACTTCTTTGAATATCTAAATGTTGTTACGGAAACTGTTTGTGACGTGTATCGTATAAACGCGATCGCTGCAGCTAGGAGGCCGCAGTTAATTTGCATATAGGGATTAAAAAGTATTTTCAGGAATATTTGAGCCATTTCGTTAAAAAAAGGTCAAAATGATGATTAATATCGATCTTGATACTCCATCAGATAATTTTTCCTGCACCTTTAAGAGTTTTAGGGCTGTTAAGCTTTACAAACCTGTCTGCTGGTCGAACTGCGTTATCGTTGGTTTCGATCAAGACGGCGAATATTTATTAAATTCAGAAAGCTCTCTACGACGCAGGATGAGGAGTGCCCAAAGTTTTATTCTATATTTAACTTGCTCTATCTAAGTGCGTTTAAGCTGCAATAGACTTGACTCTAGATCAGATCCCTCATAAGAGAAAATAGCATTCAACCGCATGTACCTTACTCCTCACAAATTTTAATGCTCACGATAAGGTATTTTGAAAGTTTCATAACTCGGTAAAAAT